AAAAAAAAAAAAAAAACCTTCATAGATTAGGATCTTTCTTTGTTGCCCTAGCTGGTCTCAAACTCCTGGCCTCAAGTGATCCTCCTGCTTGGACCTCCCAAAGCGTTGGGATTACAGGTATGAACAGCTGCACCTGGCCTAGGGCTTGGGTTTTGATTGGAAGTTTAAAAGCGGACTTGGGGTGGGGGTGGGAGTACTTCAGTGAGTACTTGACTGCCTCTCTTGCTTGGGCTTTCTGAACACTTTAGGAGATGCAGTGGCTCTGGATGTTGTAGCTCTTGGGGGTTGGACAAGCTGGGGACAGAGATCTTTGGCTCCAGGGCACTTGTACTGGCTTCAAGGAGGTCTCCAGAAAGGGCCCTTTTTTCTTCAGTGAAATTCTTGACTGGCTGCAGTGGCTCAAGCCTGTTATCCCAGCACTTTGGGAGGCCAAGATGGGTGGATCATTTGAGGTCAGAGTTCAAGACCAGCCTGGCAAACATGATTAAATCCCGTCTCTACTAAAAATACAAAAATTAGCCGGATGTGATGGCAGGTGTCTGGAATTCCAGGTACTCGGGAGGTTGAGGCAGGAGATAGCTTGATTCTGGGAGGCAGAGGTTGCAGTGAGACAAGATTGTACCACTGTACTCCAGCCTGGGCGACAGAGCGAGACTCAAAGCAAAAAAAAAAAGGAAAAGAAAAAAAAGAACTGGTGCTGATACCATATCTGGAAAGATGATATTAGTTGAAAGATGGTCCTAGCCCTGGAGGCTTTGAGGGTATGAGCAGGCCTATCTTTTCATGTCTTCTCTTTTTTTTTGTTTTTTTTTTGAGACGGAGTCTTACTCTGTCGCCCAGGATGGAGAATGCAGTGGCATGATCTCAGCTCACTGCAACTTCCACCTCCCAGGTTCAAGTGATTTTCCTGCCTCAGCCTCTGGGTAACTGGGACTACAGGTGCGCACCACCACACGCAACTAATTTTTATATTTTTAGTAGAGACAGGGTTTCACCTGTTTCATCATGTTAGCCACGATGGCCTCAATCTCTTGACCTCATGATCTGCCCTCTTCGGCCACCCGAAGTGCTGGGATTACAGGTGTGAGCCACTGCGCACAGCCTGTCTTCTCTTTTTTAGATACAAGCTCTCACTCCGTGGCACAGGGTGGAGTTCAGTGGCACCATCATAGCTCATTGCAGCCGCAAACTCCTGGGCTCAAGTCATCCTCCTACCTCAGCCTCACGAGTGGCTGGGACTATAGCCCTGTGCCACCATGCCTGGCTAATTTTTATTTTATTTTTTTGTAGAGCTAGAGTTTCACCATGTTGCCCAGGCTGGTCTCAATCTCCTGAGCTCAGGCAATCTGAGGTGGGCAGATTGTCTTGAACCCAAAGTGCTGGGATTACAGGTGTGAGCCACTGCTTCCAGCCTAATTTTCTTATTTTTTCTGTAGAGACAGAGTCTTGATGTGTTGCCCAGGCTGGTCTCAAACTCCTGGGGCTCAAGCAATCCTCCTGTCTTGGCTTCCAAAGCACTGAGATTATAGACGTGAGCCACCACACCTGGCCAAGCCTAGCTTTACTTGTGCTGAGTTACATGTGTCATCTCATTTCTCACTGGCCCATTTTACAGATCATGCAAACTAAGGCTCAGAGATGTAAATGGTCTAGTGGTCCCTGCAGCCTTAATAAGAGGGGACTCAAACCTTAGTCTGTCAGGCCCACTAATCTTGCCCCTAACCTCCGCACTGGCCTCTTCCCAGGCTCCTCTGACCATGGGCCTCGGGCCCTGAGGATACGGGGCTCCCTGTGGCCATGACGACGGGTGACTGCTGCCACCTTCCTGGCTCCCTGTGTGACTGCTCTGGCAGCCCTGCTTTCTCCAAGGTCGTGGAGGCCACAAGCCTCGGTCCACCCCATTATGTGGCACAAGTGACTTCAAGGGATGGCCGGCTCCTCTCCACTGTCATCCGTGCCTTGGACACACCAAGGTGAGTAGTGACCACATGGATGTCCTGGCCTTGGCAGCCTTTTCTCTCTGGGCCCAGTGACTTTCTCGCAGCCTGGGATCCAAAGTCCAACCATCAAAGAGGGCCAAATGGGTAAATAGAGAAAGAGACACAGTTTCCTTGCGGAAACAGATGTCTAGCTCTGGCCAGGTGTGATTCTTTAGGAAAAGCTGAAATTCCAGATTATTATGTGAAATCTGAAGTTCAAATGTTGGCAAGTAACTCACACTTTTGGGAGGCAGTATAGGGGGTGGTGAGGAGTGCAGCCTACGGCTCAGTGCCTGGGCTCTGACCCAGAATGGACACCTCCTTCTCTCCCAGAGTGACCTGGGACAAGTTATTATACCACTGTATCTCTTTTTTTTTTTTTTTTTTGGAGACAGAGTCCCCCTTTGTTGCCCAGGCTGGAGTTCAGTGGCGAAATTTTTTTTTTTTTTTTTTTTGGAGACAGAGTCTCACTTTGTTGCCCAGGCTGGAGTTCAGTGGCGAAATCTCTGCTCATTGCAACCTCCGCCTCCCAGATTCAAGCAATTCTCCTGTCTCAGCCTCCGGAGTAGCTGGGATTACAGGTGCCCACCATCATGCCTGGCTAATTTTTGTACTTCTTTTAGAGATGGGGTTTCACCATGTTGACCAGGCTGGTCTCGAACTCCTGACCTCAGGTGATCTCCCCACCTCAGCCTCCCACACTGCTGGGATTACAGGTGTGAACCACCATGCCCACCCTCTCTCTTTTTTTTTTTTTTTTCTACACTCACTAGTAAAGAACCAACAAACACCCTCTCTTTTTTAAATTTTTTTTGGAGAAAGTCTCACCCTGTCGCTCAGGCTGGAGTGCAGTGGTGCGATCTCAGCTCACTGCAACCTCACCTCCTGGGTTCGAGTGATTCTCCTGCCTCAGCCTCCCTAGTAGCTGGGACTACAGGCATGAGACATCACACCCAGCTGATTTTTGTATTTTTAGTAGAGATGGGGTTTCATCATATTGGTCAAGCTGGTTTCGAACTCCTGACCTCAAATGATTTGCCCACCTCATCCTCGCAAAGTGCTGGGATTACAGGTGTGAGCCACTGTACCCAGTTTTTTTTTTTTTTTTTGGAGACAGAATCTCACTTTGTCCCCTAGGCTGGAGTATAGTGGCATGACCTGGCTCGCTACAACCTCTGTCTCCTGGGTTCAAGCATTTCTCTTGCCTCAGTCTCGGAAGTAGCTTGGACTATAGGCACCTGCCACCATGCTCAGCTTATTTCTGTATTTTTTTAGTAGAAATGGGGTTTCACCATGTTGGTCAGGCTGGTCTTGAACTCCTGACCTCAGATGATCTACCCACTTCAGCCTCCCAAAATGTTGGGATTACAGGCGTGAGCCACCATGCCTGGCCTCTCCTCTGTATTTGCTCTTCCCAAACTTTTTCAGGGTTTTCCAGAACAAGCTCCAAACTGACGTGGTTCTTCCTCAAGATTCTTGTCACTTCTGTTTCCCTGAGTTGGTTTCCGGAGCAGGGGCTCCTTTTCTGTTAACTTTGTTTGTGTGTATACTTGGGGGAGGATGGGATCAGGGTATGGATTTAGAAAGGAGGCAGGCAGGCATGTTCTTTTGCCTTTGCAGGAGGAAATAATAGGCCAGTGATAGGACTATTGAGAAAGCTGACATGAGCAGCCTGATGTGCTCCTTTCAAATCAGCCCAACCCCACCCGCAGCATGAGAATCTGAGAAAAGGATAGAAAACAGTCATTTCCAGCCGGGCACAGTGGCTCATGTCTGTAATCCCAGCACTTTGGGAGGCCAACGCGAGTGGATCACAAGGTCAGGAGTTCAAGACCAGCCTGGCCAACATGGTGAAACACTGTCTCTACTAAAAATACAAAAATTAGCCAGGCACAGTGGCTCACACCTGTTAATCCCAGCACTTTGGGAGGCCAAGGCAGGGGATCATGAGGTCAGAAGTTCAAGACCATCCTGGCCAAGATGGTGAAACCCTGTCTCTATGAAAACTACAAAAATTAGTTGGGCACGGTGGCGTGTGGCTGTAATCCCAGCTACTTGGGAGGCTGAGGCAAGAGAATTGCCTGCATCTAGGCAGCAGAGGTTGCAGTAAGCCAAGATCACACCACTGCCCTCCAGCCTGGGCAACAGAGTGAGATACTGTCTCAAAAAGAAAAGAAAGGAAAAAGAAAACAGTCATTTCCAGGTAGGCATGGTGGCTCGTGCTTATAATCCCGCACTTTGAAAGTTCAAGGCTGAAGGATCACTTGAGCCTAGGAGTTCCAGGCCAGCCTGGTCAACATCGTGAGACCCCTCCTCTCTAGAAAATATAAAAAAACATGAGCTGCGTAGGGTGGCGCTGCCTGTAGTCCCAGTTACTTGGGAGGCTGAGGCAGGAGGTTCGCGTGAGCCAGGGAGTTTGAGGCTAGAGTGAGCTGTGATTGCACCACTACACTCTAGCTTGGGCAGCAGAGCTAGACCTTGTCTCAAAAAAGAAAAGAAGGCCTGCCGTGATGGCTCACGCCTATAATCCCAGCACTTTGGGAGGCTGAGGCAGGTGGATCATTTGAGATCAGGAGTTCAAGACCAGCCTGGCCAACAGGAGTTCAAGACCCATCTCTACTAAAAATGCAAAAATTAGCCAAGCATGGTGGCATGTGCATGTTGTCCCAAGTCGGGAGGCTGAGGCAGGATTACTTGAACCCAGGAGGCAGAGGTTGCAATGAGCTGAGATCATACCACTGCACTCCAGCCTGAGTGACATTAAAAAAAAAAAAAACGGGGGGGGGGGAAGAAAGAAAGAAAAGAATACAGTCTCTCTGAGAGGAAACTGGCATTATCCGGAAAATAGCTCTTCTTTGTGCAACCTCACAGTCTGCCTTCCAGTCAGAAATGTTCAGGAAACAGTGGACGGCCTCTGGGCCACACTCCTTGCCTTCTGAGCTGCCACAGGAAGGACCCAGCATCTCCAGAGACTGGGCCAGGGCTGGAGACTTTTCCGAGGCGGCTTTCTGCAAATGCTTTTTATATCTGTTTCCCCCAACAAGGGCAGAGGAGCAGGTGAGCACTTTTCTCTGGATGCATAGGTTTCTCAAGCAGCATGGGCTTCAGGTGTGGTTAGATCCAGGGGCCTCTGATGATGTCCTTAAGAATCTACCTTTCCCTGTCTCTTGGCTCTGCTCTCCTCTGTGCTGGCATCATTCACAGGCTCCATGCAAAGACCAGGCAGCTGCTGGCAGCTGCCATCAGCTCCAGGCTTATGTCAGCCTTGCTTCTGACAGTTATGGAGTTTAGGGGAAAACAAAGAATTTTAGAAAAGGATTTTATTGGTGGCTGATTATATCATACAAGCCTGCGTTGGTCACCATGAGCAGGGTTGCATGGTGTTCTTTTTTCTTTTTCAAATGGTCTCACTCTGTTGTCCAAGCTGGAGTGCAGTGGTACCATTATGGCTCATTGGAGCTTTGAACTCCTGGGCACAAGTGATCCTTCTGCCTCAGCCTCCTAAGTAGCTGGGACCATAGACATGTGACACCATGCCCAGCTAAGTCTTAAAACATTTTTTTTTGTAGAGATGGGATCTCACTATGTTGCCCACACTGGCCTTGAACTCTTGGGCTCAAGTGATCCTCCCGCTTCAGCCTTCCAAAGTGCTGGGATTACAGGCGTGAGCTATTGCACTTGGCCTGGTGTTCTGACTGGTCAAGCCTGAGGCCTGAGGTCATCAGGAGTATTGTCTGCTCTGCCCTAGTCTTTGAGGACTTTTTTTTTTTTTTTTTTGAGACGGAGTCTTGCTCAGTTGCCCAGGCTGGAGTCCAGCAGTGTAATCTCGGCTCACTGCAACCTCTTCCTCCCAGGTTCAAGTGATTCTCCTACCTCAGCCTCCCCAGTTGCTGGGATTACAGGCACCCACCACTACATCCGGCTAATTTTTGTATTTTTAGTAGAGACAGGGTTTCACCATATTGGCCAGGCTGGTCTTGAATTCCTGACCTCAAGTGATATGCCCGCCTCAGCCTCCCAAAGTACTGGGATTACAGGCATGAGCCACCTTACCCAGCAGGTCCTTGAGGATTAAGAGTTGAGGGTGGGGAAGCTGTGCAGGATAATCAGGATAGTATTTTAGAAAAATCTGGAGAGGACATTGAGGGGTGGGTATAAGAGATACCCATCCTGGGTCTGAGAGGATGCTGCAGGATCCGTGGGAAGGGAACACATCACTGGGAAGGCTTTGCAAGGTTACTTCCCCTGCATCTCCTTCTGAAAGGGGAGGACATTTGGAGCTGGGCATTGAAGAATGAGTAGGAGTTCAGCAAGTGGCAGCATGGGGTAACAGCGAGCTTGTGATCCAGTGTGTAGTGAAGCAGGTATAGACAGAAAGCCCAATCATTGCTCACGGGTCCTGTCTCCATGTCCAGCGACGGTCCCTTCTGCCGGATCTGCCATGAGGGAGCAAACGGGGAGTGCTTGCTGTCCCCATGTGGCTGCACTGGCACGCTGGGCGCCGTGCACAAGAGCTGTCTGGAGAGGTGGCTTTCCTCGTCTAACACTAGCTACTGCGAGCTGTGCCACACGGAGTTTGCAGTGGAGAAACGGCCTCGACCCCTCACAGAGGTACCCTTAAGAGTCTGAGACTTCGGTGGGCAGTAGGGAGAGGGCAGGCATGGGGGCCAAAGGCAGGAGCTGCCCTGGGGGATCTGGTGGGCTGGGGAAGCAGCTTCTCCCTAGGGCAGACCTCCCTACCACCCTGTCCACTGGGTGGGTCTGCTGATGGGGTGTGGCCTGGGGTTTAAGAGCTCCCAAACCCGTTACCCTCTTCTGGTTTTG